CAGCTCGCGTTTCCGGCGAGCTTCCATTTTCGGCGTCCTCCTTCTCGACGAGCAGACCAGCAGCACGACCTCGAACCCGACCCCAACCTCACGCGTGAAGACTGCAGCTCCAATTCACGGGCCCAACAGTGGCCGGTGTTCGTACATTCGCGGGCCAACCACCACAGCGCCTCCACGCGCGCCCGAGCTCGGAGTTCAGCCCATGAACCGAGTCCAGCACCTCGATCTCGGCCCGAACAGCAGCCCAGCTCCTCAGATCCGCGATTCTCAGCCCAAAACCGAGCCCATGCCTAGATCCGAGTACACCCGAGCACAACCGGGTCGTTCCCTAGCCGTTTTAATTTTTCTGACTTCCGATACGACCCTTTCGAGAGGTATATCGGCTTAAACATTTCTCCATGAGCTTAATCGAGAATTTAGATGAATTATAAAATTTACGGGAAGCGATTTCGAGCATTATATAATTTATGGTGAATTTATCGGTTTAAATGGAATTAAATTCCGTAAATATTGGTTGCTGCCCGGAAAAATGTAAAACTAGCGTGATAAAATTTGTATAGCTGACTTGAGACCTAGGTTTTAATTTCGTAAATTTTGGTGCTCGTTTAGTATGTTAACTGGATTTTTGAATATGTAGCTGAAATGCTCGATTTTTGATAAATATGATAAGACCTCGGAATTCGATGAAACTTTCACGAAAAATCCTATAAATGATGAATATGTCGTGGTCTAAATTTCGTGATTTTAAGAGGTTATTTGATATGCCTATAAATTCGAGACTTTAGCTGCTTTGGTGAAAACCCTAGAAATTATCCAGTTGAAATTTAGCTGAAATTACTGGGAATCGAGTTGAGCTTAAAGTTTGAGTTTTTTACTTGAACCAAGATAGATAGCCGGTTGAGTAAAGAACCCTAGTCTGGCCTTTTTCGGTCAGTCCGGATGCTCTAGATCCGGATAGAAAGTTGTGCGTCGACTGATGTCGTGTCCGTGCGTATGCACCCGGACCACGATTAAGTCGAGTTGCACCCAGTCAGATAAATAAGATCAGATCAGTCAGATAAGTTAGATCAGATAAATCAGATAAGCAGTCCAGACTTAGAAATATTTCAGAGAACCCTAGAATGCCTCAAAGTTAGCAAATCTTTTCAGAACAAGCTCAAAGCATCTAAATCCAGATTAAATGATATTTTTTTTTAATCAAGCGAGAGAGAACCAAGTAAGATTTATTAATAATAAGAATCAAGCTTTTATTTGAGCTTAGTACTTAGTACATTTTGCTCAAATATTTATGTAGCTTAAGGAGAGTCGAGCTTCCGACAGCTACCAGTGAGTCAACACTTGCCTAGCAGTCGCAGTTATCAGGTGGGGGTCACGTACTGGTTCTATATCATCTTTAATTTCCGTACCATGTCCGAGGTATGTATGAGAAATAGATAGTTCATCACGAGGGAGGCCGTGGCGGGCCTTAATGTTCCCCCGTTATTCCGAGGGAGGCCTTAATTGGCCTTAATGATCCCCCGAAGTGTGCACATGATTGGCTTTTAAGCCCCAGGGTCTTTATGACCACCAGATGCCCCAGTTACAGTTTCAGTTCAGTTCAGTTCTTATATACTTAAAGTCATGATATTGTTATTAACGATGCTATATAATTAAGTACTGGTCTTTGCGAAGCATAGCGGTTTTGCTCACGCCCCCACTACGTTTTTCAGGTGACGGAGCGGCGCGTGGCGCGTGAGATTTCAGTGGCAGTCGTGGTCATTAGCTGTCTTTTTGTAACGCATTTGCATGTCATTTATTGAACATGTACTATTATTACTATGCGTAGACTTATTATGTTTTAGCTTCCGCTCATTCCAGACTTAGTATGTATTATGAGATTATCAGACTTATGCATGTATAATGCCTTTATCGTCGTGGTACCTTTATATAACGGATTTGATTAGGTTGCATGTATTTATTTACGTCTGCATGAGAAAGAGTTTAAGTTAGTAGCATCCCGCAAGTTAGTATGAGTATTTTCGAAAATAAAGTTTAAGATTTTTTCGAAAATAAAAAGCAAAAATTTTACTATGATTTTATAAATTCTAGAAATAATTAGGCGGGGTGTTACAGTTGGTATCAGAGCCACCTTGTGGTTCTATATACTTAAAAAGTTTAGAAAAGCATGACCACGCCACGCTCACGCCGCGCCGACTCCGAGGTAAGTCACCTAAGTTTTTAAATTTCTGCAAGCGCATGAGAACATAGTAAGAGACCTTAGGGGCCATCTATCCTCCGACTAGAAAGAGAACTCTAGACAGAATTCTAGAAAGTTTATCTAAGTCCAACTCAAGACTATATCAGAATTTGAACTAGAATCAGTAGAGTTAAGCAGAAACCGGAACTCTAGCCAAGCTAGGTGTTTTCGGAATTCGATAAATTATTAAAGTATAGTGTAGCTATTTATTAATCGGCTATACTGTTTTCAGTCAGAATTTCAGCAGAGTCTGTTATTTGTACACTCTTCCGTTGACTTTTCGGAGGACGGAGCGGAATATAACTCTAGTAACATGTAATATCCCGACTTTTATCAGTAATAATAATAGTTTAGTTCCGATATTATTTTTCGGAATTGATTATTTTCAGTTATTTCAGTCAAAATTACCGGAACTATTTTCGACGTACCGTTTTCGTTCGAAATAATTTTGGTGATTTAGCATTATGTTTAATTGAATAATTAAACATAATTAAGTGATTAATTTAATTTAATCACGAGATTAGCTATTATTCGGATTTTATTCCGAGTTCATGCGCATAGCCGAGCAAAATGCCGTGTGTTATGTGGTGCATTGTTCGAGTTCATGAGCAAGCCGTGCGGTCCATGCGCGCACGTGTTGAGCATTCGTCTGAGAGATTCCCTCCAACCGCAAGCCATGAAGACCGAGCAAGCATTAGTGGCGGAGTGTCCTAGGCGTGTGCTTATCCGTGCCAACTTTTGTCTCATTGCACAAGAAACCGCGCCCAACACTTCCCTCATTGTCCGTGCACCATTTTGTCCCTTAGCTCTCCAAATACCGTGCACATTTTGTTCCTTTTTCTCGCAAGAATCCGTGCGTGAATGGGAGCACATGGACCGAGCATCTTCTTGCCCTTTGTCTTGGCCCTCACGTGAGAATGGGACAAGCCATTCCCCTCATTTTCTCCGCCCACCATATGCCTTCGGTTTTTAAGTGTAGCATGAGGGAGTTGTTTTATTTTTACTCCTTTTCGTTTGCCTTGCCGAGAGTATAGAGTGAGTGCGAGAGTTAGTGAGTTTTTGTGTGAGTTATTCGGGAGCAGCATTGCCGCGAGCACGCACGCATAGCAGCAGCACGCCACGGAGGTCCGAGTCCAAGGCACGCGCACGAGTACGCGCAACACACGCATCGCACGGGAGTTCGAGAGTTTAGTCTCCGGGGTTTAATACGAGGTAAGTTCCCATCAGCTTAGGCCAAGAATATCATGTTCATTTATGTTAAGTTATGAAAAAGGTCATGCATGTGTGTTATAGCTATTGCCGTGCGGACATGTTATATTTTAAATAAATTTATCCGAACCATGTTATGTTTTTCATGGAATTCTCCGAACACTCTTGCATGCTTAATTTTTATGTGCAATTTCATGTTTAAGTTAGCTATAATGTTCGGATAATATTTCACGTTTGGAGTGTTCGGTCGAGGATAACGTGGTTGCGCATGTAGCGCACCACGGGCCGTGCATACTTGCTCATATATATATTAAGTTAACAATTCACCGAATAACACTCGCATGTTTAGCCTTTATTTGCGAAATTATGTTTATATGAACTTACGTATTCGGATGAATTTAGTAGTTTTAATGAAGGTTGGCCGAGAGGGGTGTGGTCGCACACGTAGTGCGCACCACGGCCACCCGAGTACTATTGCATGTTATGTTCAAGCTTTCCGTCCATTATGTGTTATTTAGTTCAGTAAGGCATGTTTAAATTCAGTTATAAGTGAATTGCCGAGAGATTATGATGTTCGGTCGTTAAACGGCACGATGCCGCCGGCGGCGCACGGCGCGCCCGCCACGACCTAAGTTTAGTCCCTTTAGTGAATTTTCATGTTTTCAGCAATTATGTGCTTATATGTTCATGTTATGCCATTTGAAGTCATGTTGCTCGAAGAATATCGCCGGACGGCC